TTTATTTCAATAAAAATGTAAAAATTAAAAGAGAAAATACACAAATTATAAAAGAATTTAGAATCTATCTTACACATTTATATGTACTGTTTTTTAAAAAAATGTATTAATGGAAGATTTTTTTAAAAAATTTATTCCTCTTGATATTATTTTTATTTTATTTTTTATTTTTTAAAAAATCTATTGCTGGTAATTATTTTACTATGTAAATATATAGCTGCTATTTTTAATTATAAAAAATATTTTTTTTCATGGTGTTTTTACGCCATTTTGAGGGATAACTATTTGTCGTTAGTTGCAACCTTAACACGTTCTACCACCCCAGTTCAGGGTTGGACATGGAAACCACAGCAAGTAAGATGTGTTCCCACGCTCCCGAAAACCTTCAGATCGGAAGCCTTGCTGCCGGATGTAGTTTATCGTCATACACAGAACGTTTGTTAATATTAACAGGCACTGAGGCGGAAATTTGACGTAATTCCTGAAATCAATACGCAGATTTTTAAGTCAGTTAATCTCTTCTGCTTGTTCGGAAAGTCGAACTCCATTTTCAACCAGCAGTTAAGACTTGTACAAATTTAATTACGGACATTGATAACTTTAAGAGTGGTTGTTACCATTCATGTTGGTGAAATCCCAAAACGCAACAATATCAATCAATGCAAACGTCCGAACCTCTCTTCTAATGAAAATTTAATTACATTCAGTCAATGACATAATCGCCGACAATTGCAGTCGGACAATGTAAGGATTCTTCTTTTAATTTCCAATTGATAAACTCCTCGATGTTCTTGCTGAAAATTGTTGCGTGGGTGGGGTCCATAATGCATGTCTTTCTTTGGTTCGGAATAATATGGTCTTAAGTGATTATCATCGTAGCTGAAATAAATGACAGTTCGAATCTGCTATCCTGAAAGAGATTTAAACTCTGATTGAGAGCATTAACAATAACTGGCTGTTTAAAGACAATATATGAAAGGCCAGAGGGACAGGGGAAGACATTGCATAATGTAGCGGATTTAAGTAAATGTCAGAATATGATTTAAGAATAATAAGTAAAAGTTAACAGGAAATTGTGGAGGATCACCATGAAGTACACCCTGAATAGATACGGAAAATAAAAGAATAAGAACTCCAAACGACACGAATATGAAGGAGACCTATATGGCCAGTTTTAAAAGCAAATACAATAAGTGAAATGTGAATTTAAACCCAAAGTCGGACACATTAAGAGAAGCATTATCACCATCAGCAATCGAGATCATCCTAACGAAAACTAGATAAAGAAAAAGTGATGAATGACACATTAAAATATCGGCATTATGAAACAGTGACAGAAAACAATGCCAAGGAATGGCACAGAATATAAATTCTGAAGAAAATGCAGTCAGGTTAATAGAAATAATGATTATTACAGATAAAGAAGATATGCTTTAACAAATAAGAAATCAACCACGTCAAAAAAAAAAAAAAAAGGAGACAGAAAACAATGGCAAGGTATAGCACAGAATATAGTATATTGCATAAATAAATTTTGAAGAAAATTCAGTCACGTTAATAGAAATAATGATTATTACAGATGAAGAAGATATGCTTTAAGAAATAAGAATGTTTTCTTCTGACTGAATTTTCTTCAAAATTTATTTATGCAATATACTATATTCCCAAGGACAAAAAAATGCTCGTATACAGGATGCGTAAAATCCAAGGAAGGGATATTAAAGAAAGAAAAATACTTCAGAGATGGAAGGAATATATTAGATTGGTTTGGTTTGGTTTGTTTCGGTTTATAGAAACTTCCCTGTAGACCCCGTAAAAACGGGGTCGGGTATCTGTCTCCCGAGACGAGACCCTTTGGCATATCCTCGTCTGGGGATCCTCTCTGCCCGGAGGCAGAAAGTTTGACCAGCACACTTCCAGAGTGAGATATTCACTAACCGCCCCACACGGCTGAATACGGCCAAAGTCCGTATGCTCGATCAAAAATTCCCCGTAGACCCCGTAGAAAATTGGTCCGGTTGCTGTTTACCAGCCCAGACGAGATTCTACCCTTCGACACAGTATCGTCAGGGTTACACTCTGCCGGGAGTCAGAGAGTTTGGCAAGCACACATCCGAAGTAATACGGATAGTGAGATTTTCACTACCACGCGACCGGTTGCGGAGAAATGCCAAGTTAATTGTGGGGTATCCTAGCTCCTAGGCTCGGCCAAAATTTCCCCGCAGACACCGTCAAAACGTGGTCGGGTTGCTGTCTCCCGTGACGAGTATCTGCCTTTCGGAACAGCCTCGTTTGAGTTCCTCTCTGTCCGGAGGCAGAGAGTTTGAGCAGCACACTTCCGAAGTAATTCGGAGAGTGAGATATTAACTAACCACCTGGAAGCGGTCCAAGGCCAAGTTGATTGTGGGGCCTCCGAGCCCGTACGTTCGGGCAAAAATCCTATTTAGAGCCCGCAAAAATGGGGTTGGGTAGCTGTCTAACACTTCAGATTAGATTCTGC